CCTAGCTCCGTCTGGGAACTACTTACTACATTCCAGTCAACAACATCTATCAACTAAACCCAAGTCCACTTTGCGTAAGCTCCTGTCTGGACACAGATGCACCACTTCTTCTCAAAGTCCCTAAATCTAGCTCTATTAATTTAATTGATCTTTTCTGTCTGTGGCTTGGTCAATGTACAGGTGCAATCTGCTTTAAAGGCAAAAGACCTCAATATTTAAATTATTTTTATCTCAAACAAAGAAAACCAAACCGAGATTTTCTAAAGCAACAACACACTAGCTAACTCTCACTTAAGCATGAGTGGACTGTTAGGTTAGGGCAGTTGTTCTCAATTCTGTTCCTAAGGCCCCCCTGCTCTGCACATTTTGTATGCATTCCTTACTTAACATACCTGATTCAGATCATCAACTTGTTAACAGAGAGATCCAAGTAGACAAGCTGTTTATGGATAAAACTATGTAAAAAAAGTAGGGTTTGAAGATCAATGGCAGACAAGTTAATCTGTCAATAAGGTTGGCTAGAGGTTTTTGTAATTCCGGGAGTACTTTAATTACACAATGATGAAACAAAGGGATGCCTTAAAGATACTTACAGTGGTATTGATAGCATTCTGCCAAAAATAGAACAGTTATTGTAGTGCACTTAAGTATATTTTAGGTTAATTGAATCCTAGATGCAGAGTCAAACAGTAAGTCTAAAAGTGACCATCAAGGTATTTACTATGAGTGACCATCATAGTATTTCCCCTCTAATTACTCACACTAAAGTTATACTAAACTTTAATTAATATCTTTCTTCTGATGAACACTAAACAAGATATCCTAAAGACAAAAAGCAGCTATTGACATCCACAGTAAGAACAATAAAGAAAACTATGGAAGTTAATCGCAGTTTTTTTGTGGTTGTAGTTGTTGTTGGTGGTGTTTTTTCTTCAAAATTTGTCATTATATCATACATTTGTGTGTTTATCAGGAGAAAGAAACTCACACAGGTTTGGAACAAGTGAAGGATGAGTAAATGGTGGCAGCATTTTCATTTTTGGGTGAACGATCCCTTTAATGAAACACCACAGATGCCATGCCATGTTCTCTATTTCAAATGCCTCACGCCTTTATTAAATCAGTGAAACACTTCATTATTCACAGGTTTGAATCAGCACGTTCTATCACACAAAAACACGAGAAACAGAATGTTTTTTCCCTTATCAAAAATCCATACCCGATTTGCAGAAATGAGAACTTAAGAACCTGAAAAAGACAAATGCGCCTTCCTAAAACAACCCAATTGAGCCAATGTGACAATGAAAGCACTAATTAATACATGCAGTTAGTCTAGATGCCAATAATCATAATGACAAATTTGGGAAAAACAGCGCACAAACTGTTGCTCAGACTCACTGCTGTTGAATGACTCTTACTAGACTTTTATGTGAAGTGTGCAATAAGCCATGAAGTCATGTTGCTAAATGATGATTTACTGCAGCACATTCAAACCTCTGGGTGGATGGACATGCTGCTACACGCTTTATTAATTATTACATCACTAATTAGCCATAAAGCATGTCAAAATTAGTGACACATGTCACAAAATGGTAGCTAAAGATTAAGTCACCCAAAAGCCTGAGTAATTATTCTGAATGTGCTCTGGAAAGCAGCTTTAAATACATTGCTAATGCATAGGTACAGATAGAAGTGCTTACGCATCAGCCAGATAGCCTAACCTGTCATTTGAATCAAAGGCTGTAATTAAAATAAAAATTAAAAGAGAGCGTAGGGGATTTGCTTCTTAGGCTTGAAACACAACACAAATTACAGCTTACACTGTGACTGCTAGTGAAGCAATGCAATGAACTAGAGAGATCCTATTATAATCAATGCAAGCGGCTCGTACATTTCAGTCCAGTCAGCTTCATTGATTACAGGGCCATTCTTCAATTAGAGACACTTTAACTACCTGAAATCTAGCAAAACCAAACATCTTTAAACCGTTTCATCTATGTTTGTACTTATGCATTTTAACATAGTTTGTAACTTTTTTTTTTGACCAAAACTTTGGACTGCTTAAAGAAATAGGCTTTAAGCTTTTTTCAAAACATCTTCCTTTGTGTTTAGCAGGATAAAGAAACTCAGACAGGTTTGGAACAAGTAAATGGAGAGTAAACGATGACAAAATGTTCATTTTTGGGTGAACTGACTGTTTAATACAAGTTAAAACAAGTCAAAAACTTCAAACTGATAAAAATAGAAAATTAAACAGGCTGTTTTTAATTAAAATGTGCTTCAAGATGACACTTAGTACATAAAATAAATCAACTGTTTTATTATTAAGCACCTTTTATCAATAAAATTTACGTTTTTACATCCAGTCGATCAATCAACTTTTATGTTGATGACAAGATGTTGATGCCACACTTCCAGCCACAACCCCTGCTGCTTCCCTAGCAAAAAGTACTAAATTATGCGGCCGTTGCTAAACATTTAAATAAACATTTACATTGGGTTTTGCTTAGTGACAACATGCAAATCATTGCGCTAAGCTCATGATGCTGAAGATGGATTTATGACACAATTAAAGATCTCAGGTTCACCTCAGGGGAGGTACTGTGTGCTTGAAATAGTAGATTGGAAATTGGACTGCTGTTTGTGTGGTTTCCATAAGCAAAAACAATCTGTTGTTGAGCTTTCAACTGCTATATATCAGGGGAAAAGTACACGAGCTGTTTACGGATTAAACTATGTAAAATAAATAGGGTTTAAAGATCAATGGCAGACAAGTAAATCTGTCAATAAGGTTAGCAAGAGTTTTTTGTAATCCCAAGAGCACTTTAATTAATAATGAAATAAATGGATGCCTTAAAGACACAATGGTAACGATAGTTTTCTGCCAAAAATAACATTGTGAGTACAATACAGATAAAAACAATACATCCAATCCTGGAAACGCTATGCATCTTTCAAAATTAGATAGTATTATTGATTATTGATTTAATTATAAATTTACTGTATAATAAAAATAGATCTCTTTATAACCAAACAGTCAATACATTTAACAAAAAGATTAGTTTAAATAAGCACATTTGTGTGGAAAAGCATTTCTAACGGAAGATTCTGCAAAACAAGCTCAGTCTGAGTGATCAAAGAGGTTTTTGTAATTATTTAGTGTGAATTGATTTGTGTGATTCATAGAGCTGAAGTAAAGGCAAGACAAGGCAAGAAGAGTGACAACATATGGCAAGCCTTATAGATTTAAACAAGGCTCTTGGTATATAAAAATTGCAGCACAGTCCAAAATTCTAAACACCTTCTAATCATTGAAAGAAATAACTGTTATGAAACCAAACTATTTTTAGTAGCCTTTTTAATCTTTACTCTAATATTCAATAGTAGAATAATATAAGTGATACTTTAGAAATAAAACTACACTAATAAGTGGCAGCAAGTCTGTGAATGAACTTAACGGTTAATTAAATGGATTTGTTCAAAAATGCTGATTCATTCAGTTATAATATAAGAGACTAGTTTTTTGTTAAGTCAATGATTTTTTTGTGACTATTGAAAATAAATATACTATAGCGAGAAAGTGCATTTCTGAAATGTGAAATTTCTTTATATCTTATATCTTTCTTGATATCTGCAGTTAAATATGACCAGCAGCTTATTGTGACAGCAAACTAGAAAAAATACAATTTCAGACATCAAGAAACATGGGTTGGATGAGTTGAATTTCACATTTCGATATCAGTAATTCAATGGATTTGTTCAAAACTGCTGATTCATTCAGGAACAAAGCAAGAGTTTTATGAATGATAGACTGGAAAGCCTTTACATGAACCACGAAACCCAGGAACACAAATGTGTATAATAAACTCCAGCAAGGGTACCCACTAAAAAATTCAAGGGAATTTGGACAAATGTATAAAAATCATGATATATTTAATTGATCACTGTTAAGGATGAAAGTAGTTATTTACACATTTGCAGATTTCTGTTGTTTACTAAATAAAATTTTTGACATTATGAATGATTGTGCCAGTCATATATAATTAATTTTAGAAAAATAATGAATAAATTTGATGTAATTAATCAATAAAAAATATAATTAAAGTTTAAATAAAATAAATAAATCGAAAAAAAAATATCTGTTTTGTTGGTAAAATTCATATTGTGATATCAAGAAAAATAGTTGAAAAGTTGAAAGATAACCCAAACTATGTACAAGCATGTAATTGGTTAATCACAGGCATTAAACAATAACATTTAATTATATTATTTAATGATTGTAATACTAATTATACATAATAAAAATAGCATTATTTATTTATTGTAATGAAACATTAATAAAATCTATTAAAATGTTTACATTGTAACAACTTTTACAATAGTTTTCTATATTTGCCCAAATTTCTGTGATTTTTAGTTAATTTAAAGATTTTTTGATACTATTAGAAATAATTGTACTATAGCGAAAAAGTGCATTTCAGATATGTGAAACTTCATTAAACAAATATTGATATCTGCAGTTTAATATGAACAGCAGCTTATTGTGACAATAAAAACTAGTAAAACGTGCAATTTCAGACATCACAAAACGTGTTTTACGAGTTGAAATTCATATTTCGATATGAATAATTGGATTTCTGCGAGTGACAATGTCATTGTCAATATCGAGAATAGCCTACAGGTTTCCACTATATTGACATCCAATCTCTATAGTATCAGACCAGGTTTCAAGCAAAAGTTTATCCTTAATATAAATTAAGCTCAAAAAGATTAAAAACTCAACTTTAGATACATCCTATGCAAAACTACATACACAGGGAACAGCTAAAAGTGAAAAAGGCTTGCCATATATCCTACACTTCACGCCGATGCTCATCTCGAGACTGGAGTCCGGACAATGCGGGTTCCAACACAGTGCACTACTTTTCAGAAACATCTCACAAAACACAAACAATCTCCATAAAGCACAAAGTTAGGAGATACAAAAGTTGAAGACTGACCCGTGTGGAAGTGCTCAGTAGCTGAAGCGCTGAAGCAGACGGCAAGGAGCAAAGCTGCGACTCTCCACGAATCCATCGCTCTTCTGTAGCTACTGTAACTGTAGTCTGTGATCTGTCTGAGCTTCTGGTCCTCTGTTCTCGCAGGTGAAGTGTGTTGAAGTCCAGTCAGGTCAGTCGAGCTGATGCGGCGCGCGGATGAATGTCAGGAAAGCCCGCTGCGCGTCCGCGTTAAGAAGAGCGTCTCAACTTCTCCAGGCAGATCAGCGCTGCCCCCAGACACATACACACACACACACACGCAGACACACGCGCACACACACAAGACAGATAGCAGAAAAACTAGGGATCCTATTTCAAAATCATGTGACAGGAAATCGGGGCAATAGATTCAACCTGCACCATCCATGGGGGCATTTAGTACCTGTTGCGCGCAGAAATTCAAGAAATGAGAACCAGAGTTCAGAGGAGGAGAAAACTTTGTAAAAAAGAAAGACTTTTTAAGACAGACAGACAGACAGACAGACAGACATACACAGATTTAGTATTTCTTTTTGTAATGCTGTTTTTGTAATAATAATAATAATAATAATAAATATAATAATAAGTACTGCATTCCTCTTTTTGTATGCTATTGTTTTTGTTATGCAATTAATAAAAATAAAATCTATTTAAATTTAATAGTAAAATGTGACAAAAACATAAAAAAGATATTTAAAAATATTTTTAAAATATTCAGATATCTTTAACACATATAATTTAATATTTTTTATGTCAGCAAGAAGTAAGTATTATCTTCAGTTATTGCTGAAGTAAATTATATATGCAGTCCTATTAAAAATAATAATAATATAATTAAAATGACAATGTCATAAATGTCGAAATGTCATATAAAAATACGAAAAATAAATATAGTCATAAAACTACTACAAATAATAAAAATTATATTTAAATTAAATATTAAAGATAATTATATAAAGATATAATATGCTTGTCGATTGCTTCCTTGTCCTCATTTGTAAGTCGCTTTGGATAAAAGCGTCTGCTAAATGATTAAATGTAAATGTAGAAAATACTAATAAATAATAGATAGATAGATAGATAGATAGATAGATAGATAGATAGATAGATAGATAGATAGATAGATAGATAGATAGATAGATAGATAGATAGATAGATAGATAGATAGATAGATAGATAGATAGATAGATAGATAGATAGATAGATGCTGAGCATTGTATATGCTGAGTTAATAATTGCTCTTTCAATGTTTACATAAATGGGGGGAAATGTTACATACAAGTAAACTAAAAGTCTGTCAGCTTTAATGACACATGTTGACCACTGCAACACAAGCCTCATTTCAATGTCATACATTCCAGTCAATAAAAACCGACAGCATCAGGGGTGCAGAATGTCTCTCTCTAGTGGGAGAAAACATGAACGGAGGATCCATGACCTCAGTCTCCTGTGCCATAACAGGCCTCCTCAGTGACTTCATCCACCACCGAAATTAAAACCAACTCACCCAAAACCCCAAACGGCTCGGTAAAAATAACACTCGCTGCCTGCAGCCCTTTTTTAAGGTTTCAAATGATTTGGTTGGGTATGAAAGTGACCATAACGGAGTGAATCATGAACAGGATGGTCAGTGAACGGCAATAAAATGAAAATGTCTTAATTTGTCTATAGGGCTTTTTTTTCAGTAAACTTGCAAAACCCCAAACTCTGAAAACACCAAACTAACATGATTAGATTTGTGTCCTAGAATTGCTTACAGTTTACTATTAAGAGCACTGACCTAGGCTACACACAGAAAAAGAGTCTCAATTAGACGGTCGAGCCCTAACAAGTCGCTCAGGTGTATTCCAGGCAGTTAGATGTGTCAGTATCTTCAGAATTTGTCTGATGTGTGTAAGTGTATCATAATTATATGCATTTGTAAGAGAACGGACACACTCCCTATCCCAATAACAGTACAGTCATCTTTTCCTGTGTCAAGAGAGAGAGAGAGAGAAAGAGAGAGAGGGGGGAGAGGGAGAAAGAGAGAGAGAGAGAGAGAGAAAGAGGGTGACAATACAAATGCAGTCTATTTTATGGATTATTTATTTATCCAGGTTTACATTTGGTTACACTTGTACAGCTATCTTTATGGGGACATAACATACTGAAGACTTAATGATTTAACCCTATCCCTATCCCCTCCCTCACAAGTATTCAGCATTTTTATATTTTTAAAATACTTCAGTCTGTGTGATTTATGAGCCATAGATATACAGATAGATAGACATATATAACAGTTCTATCTGGTTCTCGAATCTGATTGGCTGATAGCGGTGATATATTTAAGTAATATTAGCACCCATACAGCCTCTTTACCCTTTGTGTATTAATCCGCCCACATACAGCAAAAAGCAGACACTACAGATCTAAAGTTTAAAAGATGCTTGCTCAGCTGTTTAACTGTCAGCTTATGATTTGAGTCCAACGCGGAAGAAAGTAGTTCCTCATAAAAAAGGTTTTTTGAGGCTCTCCATGTTTGATTTTGTTTTTATATACACAGTTATGTCGTCAAACTGTTGTATAAACGCAATATCACACTCGTAGCAGTGCGATGTGGCTGTATATCAGCACTGGTGGGGGCACTAAGGCCATCGGCCTGCGGCCTCGTGCCAACGCACGTCTCCCACCAAAAAAACAATTGAAAACAATTCTCATTCTGACTAATTACTAATCTCTGAAAAAAAGATCTATGAATTCCTGACAAGCTACATTGTTTTGTCTTCATTAGATAGCACAAAAGACGTGAGGTTTAAGCAGCTAATGCAGTCTTTCGAACGAGTCAGAACATGTTAAAAGCAGGTTAATGGTTCACTGGAAAGTCCATCGGTACACTTGCTACTTTAAAGCTTGCATGGTGTACACATTTCCCAAGATTTCTACAGATCTGAAGGCCTCAGTGGGTTAGGGTGGATATATTAAACCGAGGAACCGATCCAAGGTATCATCAGCAAGCCGTGTCTCTCTCTAATCTTTCATCACTGTCAATGCAATTACTCTCACCTCGCTGTGCCTGGTTTAATTTGATTTATTAGGCAAAATGCACACAGACGCCCAAGTACTGCAAGCAAGCATCATGTTTGCTCCTGTTATGCTTCTGTGGGCCACTGCTGAATGCATTTGAGTATACACATATGGATGGATAGACTGGAAAATAGTGCACAGTGTTTTTTAGGGTGTTTTGTTTCGTTTAGCACAGGTTTTCTTGGAGTCCATTAGTTAAAGGAACAGTTCACCCAAAAATGAAAACGCCCCTTTCACTTGTTGCAAACCTATTTAAGTTTCTTCCTTATGATGAACACAAAAGACCATATTTTTAAGAAAGCTAGAAACCTCTAACCATTGGCTTCCATAGATTTTTTTTCTACTATAAAAATGGTTGCAGGTTTTCAGCTTTCTTCAAATCATCTTCCTTAGTGTTCAACAGAAGAAAGAAACTCATAAAAGTTTCTAACCACTTGAGGGTGAGCATATCGCAAACAAATTACCATTTTTGGGTGAACTAACCCTTTAAGCCTCAATAGACCTTTAAAGAGTTTCCTCCTCTAATAAGTGACCCAAGAGGTCATCTGTGCAATCAGCTTATTACAACCTATAATTACATTTTAAAGTTAAGTGCCCTCTAGCTGGCAAAAAAAAAAATAATAATAAGAGCAGTGTTCTGTCAGGAAATGGTGTATGACTGATATTTTATTTATTTATTTTTAGATTTTTAATTTACTAAATATTTATTTATGTATGTATGTATCCATCCATCCATCCATAAAGTGGATCTATTGTAAATTTCTATCTATCTATCTATCTATCTATCTATCTATCTATCTATCTATCTATCTATCTATCTATCTATCTATCTATCTATCTATCTATCTATCTGTCTATCTGTCTATCCGTCTGTCTGTCTGTCTGTCTGTCCGTCCATCCGTCCAACCACCCATCCATCCATCCATCCATCCATACTTCTATAAGGTGGATATAAATTACTTTCATCCATTCATCTATCCATAAGGTGGATAAGGTTACTCTATTCATCTATTCATCCATCCATGGTGGTTCTAAATAACTTTTTAAAGTTAACCAATTTTTACTTGGTATTGTTGTGTGTACAAAAATCAGGTCCAAAATGTAATTGTCGAGTGTGTTGCCAGCCTTCTTACACAAAGACATTCTATCTTTTCTTTATTTTAATTTTTTTTGCTTTTAAACATTTTTATTATATTATTAACAATAACTCAGTCAAATAAGCTAATTGGGGCAATTAAAACAGAATGTTTTCCAATCCAATGAGCAGGTTTTTCCCTTTTTATGCAACGTCATTCATTTATTTTCTTGTCAGCTTAGTCCCTTTATTAATCCGGAGTCGCCGCAGCGGAATGAACCACTAACTTATCCAGCACATTTTTTTCCAGCCGCAACCCATATCTGGGAAACTTCCTCACCCACATTCACACACACACTCATACACTATGGACAATTTAGCTTACCCAATTCACCTGTACCGCATGGCTTTGGACTGTGGGAGAAACCAGAGCACCCGGAGGAAACTGAGGCGAATGGATGGAGAACATGCAAACTCCACACAGAAACGCCAACTGAGCCGAGGATCAAACCAGCGACCTTCTTGCTGTGAGGCAACAGCACTACCTACTGCACCACTGCGTCGCCCTTTGATGCAACTTGTCTAACATATTTGACTATGGGAAGCCAGAAAGCTCAAAACTTGCATAATTTAACAGGTAAATAGAATGTCGAGAATGTGTTGTTTGGCATAGAAACTGTTGCTTATGCTTAAACTTTGTGTAACCACACACATTCAACATGTATTTTATTTATAAACTACTCAAAAACAACACATATTCAACACACCCTTTATGCTTAAAGTATGTGCAAACATCACTTGATGTATGATGCACTTTTGGTAAAGAGTATAAAAAGCATACGTGAACCGAAATGTACGTGTCTGGCCAGCCTTCCACATAAAGACATCCTATCTCTCTTTTCTCAATGTATTTAAAGTTACGTCTTTTCCCTCGAGTGAAAAATATATACCTAGGTATTCTTTACCCTTGGGGTTTTAAAGCCTTTGCATTCTCAAAGAGAAGATGAAAGTGGCGTACTTAACCATTCAACCTGGAAAGAACACCACACACCCTCATCCATCTCCCCGTGTTGCTTTGAGCTCTTTAATTAAAGCACAATGTCACCCAGAGGAATGGTTTGTGTTTTTACTACCTCTCATCTTTAAGACCTTTGAGCTGCGGCCCAGCAAAAGCAGAACACCCACAGCAACTCCTCGCACCTGCTTGGGATGTTCTTCATCGCACCTTCTGATCCTCCTCGTCCTCCCGAAACCTGAAAGAGGAAGAACAGCTTTTCACCTGCGGCACAGAAATGCAAACCTGGTCCGATCTCAAGTCTTGCTGAAACAGCAGCTGGTTGA